GCAGAAACTTACCTCCCAGCAGGAGTTTGCGATTTGGCAACCGGCCTGGCCGACTGAGAGCGCGTTGAGGTCAGCAGAGTCCAACGACGAGACAGACGAGATGGAAGCGCGCGAGCGGGGCAAGCATACCGTTCAAGCTAATGACCTCTCTCATGGTGGCGTTGGCTAGAGAGATAGGGGTGTGTGGAGGAGAAAGGTGTCGGGGGGACGGGGGGGGGGGAGCAGTTATTGTAAGAGGGGAGGCTTGATGAATGAAGTGGACCGGGCGTGGTGATCGCGTAAAGGGAAAGGGAGAGGGTTGTCGTTCGGTCTCGCTCTGCGTCTGGGTCTTGCGCTGAACCGGGGGGGGGTCGAGCTTGCCCAAGTAAACAAATCCAGAGTGCGTCTGGCGCTTGCCCGAAATTGGCCCGACCCGCCCAGGGCACGTGACGGGGCCGGGATAGGAGGAACACGCACTCTTCCAATTCCGTTATTGCTCTCGGCCCTGTGTTCCGATCACTCCACCGCAGCTGGCACACCTCACTGGACATTTCATCCACACCGTGGACAAGACCTGTTCCTTTGCATTGACTTGTCTGCCCTACGCCCAGTCCCCATCAACCGCATGCCGTCCGTGCCCTGCCCCCGAGTCAGTGAACCTTCAATAATCCAAGAGGCCGTCTTGTTTACCATTTCCTTTTCCTTGTCGAGTCAAGTACCACTCCAGAGTCTTTTCCCCACATGCCGCCTCGGGCTGAGGTCGATCAGCCGTCCCAGACTTCTCCCTGCTGCTGGATCTGCCTCTTGATTCGAAGGACGTTCTGCTCCATGACCGAGCAGTGCTTCTGGAGCTGGTCAACGGTAGCCAGCGCCTCGCGGTGCGCCGAGATGCTCGTAATCAACATGAGAACCTCGTAGCGGAGGCCGTCCGAGATGCGCGCCTGCAGAAGCTTGAGGCACTCGGCGTGACACTCATCGATGTGTTTGTCGCGAGCAAGCTGGACCGCCTGTGCCACAATTATTAGCAGCAATCTGGAAGATTCCCGAAGTTGAATGGTGAAAAACTCACTTCCTGGAAACGCGCAAAGAAAGGTCCAACATTGATCTTGTTCTCGTATTTTCCTTCGCCTCCTCCGTCAACCTGTCAAGTTTAGCGATGTTTGTCGCCATGCCACGTACAAACTGACCTGGCCGTCTTCCCGGAATGGGGAGTAGATGGGCGTCAAGCTGACTGATCTACCGCGAGCTGGGAACAGCGGCTCCACCATGGAATTGTCCTGGACCGCCGGGGAAGGGTCCTGGGACGCGTCTCTCTGGAAGCGATTGCGGAGACCAGAGATGGACTTGGTGAGCTTTTTCTTCAAGCTCTTGGAGCCCTTGGATCCCGCGCTCAAGCTGGCGCGAATGTCCTTGATGGTCGGGACCTTCCTCAGCCGTGAAGCCTTGCCAGTGTCGGCCATGGTGATGACTGGTGGTAAGTGTGGTGAGTGGATTTCGAGCACCTCGTTGTTTTGGTTCTGTGGCCATACACTCGCCCTGTGCACCGTCAAGTGGACGCCGCCGGCGAAGACGACATAAGCAGCTGTCTTTTGGCTCATCTCTCTTTCTTCGTCAACCTCTGCAATTCATCACACTCCCAATGGAGAGCTCAAAGAACTCCGCCCGCAAGATGGCGCGACCTCCCCCTTTTCAGGATTTCGTTCAGAGACTTGGCCCAGCCGCCAGTGTTCTGACGCCTCATCTCCTCGACTCTGATCCCGCCGAAGCCGACAAGCACCTTCGAGAGATGGGAAAGATTGATGTGCAAAGAATCTTCAACCTCATGGAAACGGCCATTACCTCTCCTGACCCGGAACTTGTCTTCAAAGAGATCGAGAATACACTGTTGAAAGACGTGGCGGAAATGGTGGAGGAGCTCGTTTGTGAGACGGGCGTTCCCGAGTCCTCTACAAAACCGCAGCCGACAATCACGCCTTCTGGTTGTGTGTTTCCCATCTGTGGCCTCTTGTGGGCTTTTTCGGACAAGAAGCACGAGTTTCTCGAAGAATCAAGCTATGGAAAAAGCGTGGCTCACTTCAAGCGCCTGCGAAAACTTTGGCCCACCTCCTTCATATGGCTCGCTTCCAGCCGGGCTGACCAGGTGGGTATCTTGACATTCCATTTGGTTCAAAATGCTAACCTTTGTGCAGCCCTGGGCCTGTTGCTTCCAGGCTTACTCTGCCGTCATTTCTCAGATTACCAAATTTCTAGACAGCATTTCCGACTTGATTTGGACTATTTCCGAAGAACAGCGCCTCTTGATGCAAAACTATGTTGCGCGCGTGGCAAAGGCCAAGTTTGAGGAGCTCGGTTCCCCAGCGGACAATTACGACGAACCTATCCCGGAGGTCGTCTACGTCGAGCGTGCCATGCGAAAGCCCTCTCTCGAAGATGATGGAGATACGACCACATGAGTTCTGGCTCAGATACGACTTGCTAGAGTAGACAACGAAACATGTCTAGCTTCAAGACAAGGACGGCAGGGATTGGGTACGAGGGGTTGAACACAGAGAGGGCCTACAAGGTTTATGCATAGGGAGATATGCATAGGGAGATCTGGAGGGAGACGGAGAGGCACGTTGTTTGATGCGCTCTCATGTCGACCTGTATTTAGAGATTCCAGAACATTAGAGACGGATCTTGTCTGGGAGAGGCGGACTCGGGTTGCATATTCAATTTGGAAATTGTGCACAACAGAGTGAATCTACTCACTGGACTCAAGCTTGTTGGATTCAATTATCCTTCTCAATTGCTGTGACTCTGTTCTAACCTAGGGAGACTTCGGTCCCTTACACCCCTGCCCATGACGTTGGGTCCAAGAATGCCGAACTTCAGCCGCCATGTCCATGTCGCCGACAGCTCCACCTGCAGCAACAACACGCCATGTCGACCAGCCGAAAGTGCTACGGTCGCGCCTGTCTGCGCAAGCAGTGAAGATGCCTTTTTCGAGCTGGGCCATTCTCGTCTTGTCAGCAATTTTGACCACCTTTGCGAACATCGCCACAGCCAACGTCGAAAAGACCATCTTCACCGCGCCCGTCGCCGTCACGATCCCAAATGTTCGACCCAGCCTTCAGGACCTCCGTCTGACCAGCCTCACGCCGGCCAAGCATACCCTCCGCGCAAACCTGCCCGTCAAGTTTCCGACTGCCAAGCACTCGCGCGGCGAACAATCGTGGTTCCTTTTGAGCGGGCTCGAGCAAGGGCAGAGGTACGAGGTCCGCATTTGCTGGCCGGCTACGGTACGTCCAGATCCACGGTTGAAGGTTGTCGAGCGCAAACTGATGTACATAGCAACCCACGGAATTCTGGCTCGACGTCTACACCATCACCTCCGTCTTCGACACGCCCGACCTCATCTCCGCCCTGGCAGAGTACTCTGAAAGCCTCCCCGAGAGCAAGGCTGTGGTAGCAGAAGACGCCGCAGCGGGAGACTCGGATTCGGGGCCTGCGTCCGTCTTGTTCCTCCATATCCAAGCCGCGGCCGACTTTTTCACCCTCAACAAGACGTTGATGAATGATCCGCCCGATGTGAAGGCGGAAATCAGTAAGCGGCATGCCCACCCGACAACAAAGCCCGTTCTGACACACTCCAGTACTCGACCCTTATATCCTCAACATCCTGCCACGGTCCCTCGTTCCGACGGGCATCTACATCGTCGCGTCGGCCGTTGGGTCCTGGTTCGTGGCGTCGTTGATCATTCGCTGGATCACCAGCATCGAGCCGCCAACCAAGCCGCACAAGGAGTGAGCGAGCGGGCTCCACCAGCATGCCTCCAACCAACGTACTCGACGTTGCGCCGCGCTCCCGCCTGCTGAGCCTCCCCACCGAGCTCCTCATGGAAATCATCGAATGGCTGTCGCCGGAAACGTTTCTCAACTTTGCCTTTGCCGCCTACTCGTCGCTGCAGCAGCGCCTCATCGTCCCTCCCATGACCTGGCGCCTCTACGCCCCGCTCTGTCGCAACCTTCCCGCGCCGCGGCTCCCTCGCCGACGCGAAAACAACGGCCTGGCCGTCGTCTCTCCCCCGCCCTCGTCCTCATCAACAACGACATCGACGTCCCACTCGCCCGCCGCGCGCCCTTCCTCTACAGCACCACACTCCAACCTCCTCCTCATCTTCAACGACTGGCCGCTGCCGACGGAAATCACGCTGCAGGTGCTGCGCCGCCTGCGCCCGCGCGAGCTCGTCCGCTTCGTCCTGGGCCACCACAGCCTGCTGCCCGGCCTGCTGCCGCGCGTCACGGCCGACACGTATGCGCAGCTCACCCGGGCGTGGGCGCAGGTCGAGATTGCGCAGCGGCTGGCGGCGCAGGCGGAGGGCGACGAGGGCGCGGGGGCTTTGTTCGGGAGGAGGGTCCGTAGGGGTGGTAGGGGTTGTAGGAGGAGGGATAGGGAGGCGAGGAGGGCGCATTCGGTTTGATGGGTTGGTGACGTGGATGTGTGGGGTGCAGTGTGGGTTACTGCTGCTGGTGTTGCTGAGTTGAATAAATTCATTGATTGTATAGCAGTCTGAAGGACTCCCTTGTCGATGTCTGCTTCCTGCCTTACTGAGTATGTCACCTACGGCCTCTGCTTCCTCTGCAGCTTAGCTACATATGGCGCCGCTGACCGCGAGTAACGCGTCGTCGTGGCAGCAATCCACTACACATGAATACCGTACCTAAACATGGACGGGCAGAGGGCACGTGTTCTCTACATAGACATCTAGTAGAAAGCGAGCGGCCTTCCGTGTAATAAACAGGAATCAAACATTGACCAGCCAGTCTAAATCACTGCCTACCAACACACGCAGCAGATGTTTAAGCATCTGATGAGAGTTGCGGGACGGGACAAAAAGCAGGTTGCGTACAGTAAGATAGACAGATGCCGTAGTCACATGTACCTTGCACGGGCCGGTAAAGTTGTCAAAAGTACTTCCCTTCTCATGTTTGCTAGTTTATAAACATAATATTTGGCCTTGTTTTCCAATAAGCCCACATCTTCCGTGGCGCAATTGGCTAGCGCGTCTGACTGTTAGTTCTACTACTATTAGTGGATAGCAATCAGGAGGTTGACAGTTCAAGCCTGTCCGGGAGAGTGTTTCTTTTTGTCTTTTTGTTTCCCCCTTTAGCCGACGCTCTCCCCTTTCAATTTGTCTGCTATGGTGTCTTTCAGCACTGGACAGTGAGCTTGATTTGGCTTGCTTTTGTTGCGTAGTGGTGGTGGTATTGTTGCTGTTCGTATTGTCGTCGCCGTCGTCGTTGCTATGCACAGCGTGCATGCATGCATCCGCCGATCAATCGCTGCCATCATTCCATTCAATACGAGCGCAACGGCAGACAGACAGACAGACTGGCAACGCGCTGGCTCTTCGTCAGGCAACGCACACAACATACACAGTCATGAGGATGCAAAGGGTGGTTTGAAATGGCTTTATTTTTGCAATGCATGTTGCTTGGATGTGGGCTTTTTGTGGCTGCCCACTCGCACAAGGCGCATTTATCTCACGCCAATATTTTGCACCATGCCTCCTCTCCGGCCTTTTGTTCATTGCAGTCGCCGCATATGTGCGCTTCCAACCATGCCCACCACCAAAGCTCATTCCTGCTCCCTCTGCCTCCACAGCTGCTCAATCGCCAGCCTAGTTCCCTCGACAATGGCGCCCCACTCCACCTTATGCAGCTTGTCCTCAAAGTCCTCCAGCTTTTCGTCCGCGCCGGCGACAAAGGGGATCTCGCGCGTCAGGATTGGCGTGCCCATGTCGACCTCCTGGATCACGTAGTGCACCATGACGCCGGTGCGGGTCGTCTTGCCGTCGCGCCAGTCGGCGTGGGCGCGGTCGATGGCGTGCGTCTGTCTGCGCGTCAATGCGGCTGTTGCGGTTGCTAGGAGAGGGAGCTTCATACGCCGTTGTATTCGCCTGGCAGGGCCGGGTGCAGGTTGATGATGGGCACGCTGGCAGCGGCCAGGGCGTCGAGGAGCGGCGGCGTCAGGATGAGCATGTAGCCTTGGGGGGGGGTCGTCAGTCGAGGAGAAGGAAAAGTTGTCGGGCGCAACTGACCGGCGCAGACGACCATGTCCGGCTTGTCGTCCAGCACCAGCTTGGCCAGGTCCTTGTCGAACTCGACGCGCTGCGCCTGGCGCGCGAGGTCTGGGAAGCGCTCCTTGTAGGGCGGGAAGCCATGGTAGTGGGTGGGGATGCCGGCGTGCTTTGCGCGCTCTAGGCCATAGGCAGCTTTCTTGTCGGAAACGACGCGCACGATGGACGTGTTTGGCAGACGGCCATCGCGGGTCGCGTCGATGAGGGCTTGGAGATTGGAGCCGCTGCCTTTTGGGAGTCAGTCAGCCAGCGGAATGACGTGAGCCAAGGGCGGAGGGCGGAGGGCGGAGGGCGGAGGGCTTGCCGGAGATTAGGACGGTGAGGCGGGTGTGATGGTGGTCGACCATGGTGAGAGGGGGCTGGGCCGGGGAGACATGGCGGTGGTGGTCGGTGGTGAAGGGAGCACGCGAAAATGAGCGAGCGAGCGAGCGAGCGAGCGAGTGGGGCGTGGGGTAATGCTGCTTATCGGCTTATCGGCTTATCGCGCGACGGGGAGGTACCTTGACGGACGGGCGACCGTAACCTGAGTGAAGTGACGACGGCACCAGCCCAGCACGAAGAACACACGCAGCCAGCGAGGCCAAGTCACACGGTGCAAAGCGCAGGCAGGCGACGAGAAACAAAACAGCGACTTGAGCCGCTGACGGCTGACGGCTGACGGCGGCGCGCGACCAGCGGCCTCCGCCGGTTTGGGGCGCCCGTCATGTGATGGCTTGACCCGTGACGGCTAGGCTGCACCTCGCTCGACCTGACCTGACCTTACCGTGGCTACCTTGCCCACTCCTCTCTCCTCCACTCAGCACCACCCAACTTCCACTCACCGCCGCCCAACTCCACCTCTCGCACTCAACCTCAACTCCTCCTCTGCATCAACCCAACCCGACCAAACAACCCTACAGCTCATCCACCATGCGTTCCAAGTTCAAGGACGAGCATCCCTTTGAGAAGCGCAAGGCTGAGGCGGAGCGCATCCGCCAAAAGTACAACGACCGCATTCCCGTAAGCACCCCTCCCTCTCGCCTCTGCCCCTCCCTCCCCGTCGTCGCCGCTAACCCTCTCTCCTCCCTCAGGTCATCTGCGAAAAGGTCGAGAAGTCCGACATTGCCACAATCGACAAGAAGAAGTACCTGGTCCCGTCGGACCTGACCGTCGGCCAGTTCGTCTACGTCATCCGCAAGCGCATCAAGCTCTCGCCCGAGAAGGCCATCTTCATCTTCGTCGACGAGGTCCTGCCGCCCACGGCCGCTCTCATGTCGAGCATCTACGAGGAGCACAAGGACGAGGACGGCTTCCTATACATCACGTACGTATTGCTGTACTGCTTTGTTGGGCCTGCCGGGCGACCGCCCACGCCACCACGGTCGCCTGCCCGTGAGTCACAACCGCGACGACGACGCTTGCTGACTTGTCATCCTCGATTAGATACTCCGGCGAAAACACGTTCGGAGGCTTCGAAGCAGCCTGTTGATTACCCTCTTCCTGCCCTTCGACGGTCTTGGGGTTCACGGCACGGACGACTTGCGGGGTTTCTGATGGCGCTGACAGACGGCGTTCTCGGTTCATGGTGATTTTTCATTTATTTTTCCGGTTTCGGGCGAAGTTACGGTATCCACGCAGGCAGACTCCAGCAGCAGTAAAGCCAGGGACAAGATGGCGCCGCGCGCGCACGTGCGTGCTGTTGCCGACGGCGGACGACACTGAGCAGAGCGCAGCATGATACACAAGCCATATGACCGCCGCGTCTCTCTCGGCTTAGCAGCAGCAGCAGCAGCGTAGCGGCTCTCGACACGACATACCTCTGCCCCCCCTTTTTTCCCCCGTCTTCACGTTGGTTGGTTGTTGACACGCGGAGGGGATGGGTCTCTCAATAGCTTCGAATGCAGTAGTGGTCAAATCAGAATGTTGGATAAGCAAAGCAGCAGCAGCATCATGCAGCAGTCAACCAGTCAACCAGTCGGTCAGATAGTCGCCCGTTATCAATAAACGCCCTGAGCAAATGGCATCAGAACGAACGAACCAGAATGCCATGTGAGGTGCTGAGGTGCCTGTGACGCCATTTTCCCAACGCTCTCGGCTCCCATCCCTCCCCTTTTGGCGCCTCACCTCACTCAGGTCGTAGGACCCGTGGCGGCGTCACAGGCCAGGCCAGCACCGCACTGCACCTCAGCCAGCCAGCCAGCATCTGACTGCCGCTACGCTATCTCTCCCCCCGACCGCACCCCCGATCAATCAACAAACGTGAGGACCCCACTCCTGCCCTCGCTCGTAGGTATGGTACCTACCGTAGCTGCAACCGACATATCGTGACTGCATTCTTCTCTCGCTATGCAGCGTTTCTCATGTAAGGTCCGTAGATAAACACGACGCCGCCCGGCCGCCCGCGCGCTTGCTTAGGTACTGCCTGGTAGGTATCGCTCTCATCTCTACTCGCTCGCTTGTGTGTATAGATGAGCGAGGTGCACCCTCATAATGGTCCTGTACATAAGGTAGTTCAAGTATCATCGATTCATTCGTACGAGTAAATGATGTGATACGAGAGACAAATGAGCATGCACACCTCGACCCCAACCCGTCTTCCATACAAACAGCACCTCGCCCCGTCCGTCAGGTAGTCTATCCATCCAGTAGTACGTGCAGTCGGCCTGAGCGAGCGTTGCGTTCCTTCCTTGCGTTGGCTCAGGGCGTTGGCTGGTTGGTTGGTTGTTCGGCTTCGGCTTGCCCGCGTCGGCACGCAGCGTCCGTCCGCGTCCGTCTCCGCGTCCGCGTCCGCGTCCGCGTCCCCGTCCAGACGTCGTCTTAGGCTGCCGATCCATCGCATCCCATCGCGTCCGAACTGAACGCAACGACACTATTCTTGACCACGACATCAAGTCTGACAGCCGTGCGGAAAGAGAAGGAAAGGACGAAAGAAGAAGAACGAGAGAGAGCAGGAAGAAAGAGCTGTGCTGTGCGAAGGGCAGATTCCGTCGATTTGATTTCATTGAATTGCACGCTGCTGCTGCGAAGCAAGCCGGACGACAGAGCCGACGCAAAGCAAAGGCAAAGGACAGCGGAGGAGCGGGAGCAAGCATCGTCATTGCCATCCATCTCCTTCTCCGTCGATCATCGACCGCCAAACCAACCATCAGCAACGCACAAAGCAAGCCCGCGCGCGTTGTCTTGCCCGCCCGCCCGCCCGCCTACCTCGGCTCTCTAAACAGCAACCGACGCCTTCCAAGCCCGATCTGCAAGACAAAACAACCACAACCATGGCCGCCGCATTCAAATACATCGTCTCCAAGTCCGTCCCCCATTCCCTCTCCCCATCCCCCCTTGTCTCCCTCCCCCTCCCCTCCTCCTCCTCCCCTTCCCTCCGCATGCTTCCCCCATCCCCCTTCCCTCCCCCCAACTTTCCCATCCGCTAACCCCAGCACAGGCGGATCGACCCTCTCTTCGCCGCCTGCATTGGCGTCGCGGCCGCCGCGTCGCGCATCAGCCGCGAGGAGCGCGCCCAGGGGCGCAGCGGCGGAGTGAGCGAGAGTTGGGGTGTTTTGAGGAGGAGGTGGGGTCTTGTTTTTGCTCGTTGAGATGGGATGTAAGGGGGAGATATAAGATCCATTGTCTACTGTTATAGAGCAAAGCCATTCCCATTCCAGCCACAATGCCATGCCCTATCACATCACGCCACTGTCCTCCATGCTCCATCTCTGTTTCCATCTCAGTCGATCTACTCACTTACCAACGCAAAACCTACATGGCGTTAGCTCTGCACCGCCTGCACTGCACTGCACCCGCACCGCCCAAAGACAGAAAAGCGGCAAGAAAAGAACTTACTTCTCAAACACAACGCCCAACACCTCCTCCACGTCCCCCGCGCCCACCACCTCGCCGCGCCCCGTGATGCGTCCCAGACACCCCGCCGCCTCGCGCAGCGTCTCGGCCGCGACGACGATGTCGAGGTCGCCGCCCCCGCTACCATTACTGCTCCCAACGCCAGCGTCGACGCCACCGCCGCCGGC